TCACTGCCGTATTGTTGTTGTTTGTGGTGGAGATTGTAGAGACAAGCCTAATAACCCAAGACACACTATATAGCGGGAAAACAATTTACCAGATCTGAAAAACAATTAACTCTGTTTTTCTGTTAAAGGTAAAGGAGAAAACAACAGCGTTCCTGGGGACATTATGGAAAAATACTCATGTCTGTTTGATATTCTGTTTTTCCCTGTTGTTAAAAAGCATGTTAGAGCCAGTTTATTTGTGTGTGTGCGTGTATGTGTGTGTGTGTGTGTGTGTGTGTGAGGGGCTTTGCCTGTCACTCATGTTAACTCAATGTGAAGAGGCTGCTCCAAGCGGAAAGTTGAGTCCTATATATTTGCCACAATGGCTGGTGTTATTAAGACCTTGATCCGTGTTTTCTTTCTGCATGGAGGGAGGTAAGCTACTAGATGCTCTTTCTCCCTCTCTCTTTGCTGTGTGGCTGGGCGGGGTGGATTGGTTGAGTCGGGTTAAGAGAAGACACACACACACACACACAAACACACATCTTGGGGCTCTGTAAACATCCCTGTTTCAAACCACCGTGAGGGAAAGTTTGCCGTTTGTGCTTGTGTTTATGCTCAATTTGAACCTTTTTTTTTTGGTGGAAGCTGTGAAAAATAAATACGGGTTGATGTACAAAAATGTCACAGTTGATCTGAAAAGAACATAAACAACCCAATATATGAAAAAGAGAGTATTATGCGACCTTCTTTGCCAGTAGTAGTAGAAAATCCAAGAAAATTCCAAAAGAAAACTACTGATAGAAAGCCAAATTGCAAAAGACATCTTTATTTCAAACGCAAATATTCTAGCATGTCTCACAATAGGACTTTTGGGTGTTTTGGTAAATCAAGCAGCTGATTTGATCATAAACTCATCCGGCTCTGTATGTGGTTGTAAATGCTCAGATAAACTACAACAAAACAAGCACGCCTTCCAAACAACCTGCCAATCATCCACAAGATCCAGATAACTGGAGGCCACTGGAGTCTGTGTTCATTTAAGTGATGTTAAGAACAAACAATCAAAAGTGCTGCTCGGGAGACCGCAACACGTCCACATCAGCAAATGACATGTAACAATGGTGACATCTAATTTATAGCTCAAGGAGCGTGTACAAGCAAATAAACAGGCATCCCTGGTCCACACGTCCCTCTCAATTTGCCTCTCCCACGGTCCACTGCCTTGCAGACGGAGGGGCGGAAGCAAAGTAGAAAAAAGTTGAAAGTGTGCAACTTTAAAGCTGATGTCTTACTTACAGGTCCAAGACCCCTGCTTCTGATAGAAAACCTGTGCAGGCATCCGTAAACCCTCCCTGAACACAAGCACACAAACAAAAAAATATTTCACTCGCACGCACAGTTATCAGGTATCATCTGATCTAAAGGGAGGAGGAGGTGGGGGGAAGGAGGGGATGTTTTCAACACTGTCAAGGAAGAAAGGAAATGATTTAAAAACATCTCGGCAACTCTTCTCTCCTTTCATTCTTCTCCGTTTCTCTCAGGCAGATGTTGTCGGCGCCGACTTCACGGGAGGGGTGGGAGGGGGGGCAGAAACTTTGAACCTCACCGCGCCCCATCCAGGAGGTTCTCAAGCTCCAGTCTCGTGATCTTGCTAACCGCCGCGTTATCTTTGCATCGCCGTGGCGACGCCTCCAGGTAACAAGGAGATTAGAAGCAGTCAGAGGCCCATGTACCACAGCAAAGCTTTAGCAAAAGGGGGTCTTTAAATATTTAAGGTGTGAGTACGATCACACATTGTTACTCTAAGAAGAGAGGGGAACAAAGAATACAAATCTGTCTCTTGGAAATCATTTACATTACATTGCCGAGACTCTGTTCTGAGACAATTTCTGAGTGTTCAATTTGAGTTTTCTTGTTTTAAAAAGTATACAAAATTGAACACGTGCAGCACTTCCTGCTGACAAAAAGATTTCATTTCTCATCAGCATTCTGTCACTGCTAATGCAATTTTTATGCACTTTTCATGTTGGCAACCACATCAATAATTTGTGCGACGGAAATAATAAGCAAACAAATAGCACGTGGTGTAAGAAGGCAGGCTTCTTCGGCCTCTTGTCAAAGTCAATTAGACTCCTCAGGTAATGACCCTATTTGCATTGTAAACCAGGGCCTTGTGTGAGAGGGCTAATGGGGCCACTACCTGAGGAGATTAATTGAAAGTGACATTACTTGAACTCTCCTCTCTCTTTTTTTTTTCTTTCTTGCAAAGCCCTCTGAAAGATCGTCTCATCTTATTTTAATGTCATGCCACAAGTCTAAACAGCGAGGTCGAATCTTTTCAAACTTTGACACGAGTGAGGAGGAGGACGAGGAGGAGGAGGGAGGGAAAGAAACAAGGTCATTGTGGTGCGTTAGGAGAGTGCGTTTTTTTCTTTAAAAGAAAAAAGCTGCATAATTTTAAGATTTACAAATGTAATTGCAAAAGAATGCACTACAAAAGATCAGAGCACACATGTTACGTGGGCTGTATTTTAGCAATTTAGCAACAAACGTCTGGATTAACTGATCTACTGCCTGACAATCACAAACCGCATTATGTTTACAACCCACGACACGTGCCATGATGCAACAATGCACATCATTTTCCTGATGTGCTCAGGATTCACAAATTGCACACAGATGCTGACAGTTATTGTATCTGCATCATTATCTTTAATGACTCACAACACAATATCATAAATACATCAGAACGAATCACATCCACGCTAACAGCCAGGTAATGATGGTTATTATGGATCCTATGGATTGACAAGAGGACTGGGGGAGAAAAGCATGTGCGAGTTATGTTTTCTGCCGTTTGACAAAAAGAAGCATTGATGTTCCATCTGGGAAAAAAAAAAAACAGATGGTGAATAAAGAGAAGTGTCACATATTACTGCTACCCCCTCTTGTCCTGTCTAATTAGTCATATTATACGTAATTAAAATATAGTTATAGTCTTATCAGGATACAACTCTCAGGTCTACTTCCAATATGGAAATAAAGGAAGCAAAACACCATTTATGTACCCATCTGCTTTTTTTTTTTCCTCATACGAAGCAACAGCAAAAGCAGTAATTTGTTCTTGTGGCCGAGGGCAGGAGACTTTCATTTTCAGAGTTTTATCCCACCCAATTGAGCAGAAAGAAGGGATAGATGGATGAATACATGGCTAGTCAGAGGAGGTGGCCACCGCCACACTCCTAATTTATTTAATATTGTAAGAGAAATGACCTTGAGATCAGGGAAGTGCTGAATTCCTCCCCAGACGGCAAACAGAAACAATGGAGCCGTCCTAATTGTGACATTACAATCCGGCGCACAGTGAGCGATCAGAGGGGGATTGATTAGAGGAGTGGAAAGGTGGACGACTTTGTGAAAAGGTCATTGCACACTCTACCTGGAGTTTTTAATATTTTCAACCCTCCGCCTCCTCTGTGAACGTGGAATAAAGTGAAAGAAAGAGAGAAAAAGTACAACTCCTGTGTGATTACAGACTTTCTGGACAGTGATATTTTCCCCAACGCATTAGTGAAAGAAGATGGTAATTTCCTGGGGCCAGGGTGTATCCAGGCAGAAAATGATAAAAGGAAATAAAGATAGAATGGAAGAGGGGATGGGGGGGTGGTTCTTCCACTCTGCTCTTCCAGCAGGGGTGCTGACGTGGAGGTTAATTGAGGGGTTAACAGGGGGTGGTGTCGGCTGAAGGTCAGACTGCTGTTCCAGCCAGCAGGAGGTCCCTGCTCCCTGATGACCTCATTGAGTGTTGTTGGCCATGTTTCCGTGTTAGCGCTAACGCTGCTGCCAGGTGAGCACCCTCTCTAATAGAGAAAGGACCAGAGGAGGGCTGTGGCAGAGTTGTGAAGGGGCAGAGAGGAGAGGTTACAGATGGGCCATCGTGAAACTCATACTTTCTGATGCACAGCTGCTCCATCCACAAGAGAAAAAAACAAGAAAATACAACCCAGCGAAGTCATGCTGACATCTGAAATGATATTATTCAAGATTGCAAAGACTGCAACCAGTTGCTGCAATAATAATGCAAGTTGAGCAATGCCAACCAAGACCTGGGACTGGAATAATACGAAGGAAACGGTTTATGAACTAGAAAACCAGCAGCAGAACTATGTTTTACAAGACAAATGACACAAGTGGAAGGAAATGGCAACAACCTCTGTCCTCGAACTACATTACATTGTAAATGTAAAAATGAATTTAATATCAGGGCTGCAACTAGCAATTATTTTCATTATCGACCAATCTGCTGAAGATTTTCTTGATTAATCAATTTACTATTTAGTCTATAAACCATCAGAAAACAGTGAAAAATAGCTATTATAATTTCTTACAGCCCAAACAGAGGTGCTGAAATGTCTTTATTGGATCAACAGTCCAAAGCCCAAAGATATTCAGTTTATTATCATATGCAACAAAGAGCAAGAGGTCCTCAAATTTAAGAAGCTGGAAAAGCAAATGTAAATGACAAAATCTATTCTCTAATTATCAAAATACTTGAATTTTCTGTCAATCGTTTAACTGATTAACCATCTTGTTGTTAGAGCTCCATTTGGATACAGTTTCTAGAATATTTCAAGATGTTACTGTAAACTCCCTACTGACTATTAAATGTGTGACACAACTCTTTGAACCTTAGAGATTGGAAGCACACAACAGCTGTAAAATCGGTTTAGACAGTGAGTGGACTGAGTATGCATGCAAGAATCAGTAACAGTCAGGGGGGTGGGGGGTGGAGGGGGAGTAGGAGTTCTTCAAGAGTCTGAAACTCGGAATATAAATTACGCCATGTGTGTCAAGATGCAAGATCCACAAGACTCCATATTCAAATAGAAGAGAGGGCTTGTTGGTCACACTTTGCCCCTGGGCATTACTGAGTTTGCTAGTGTAAAAACTGGAACATGATAAAGAAATGATGGACATAAAATATATCGTTTAAAAAATGTTCGCAAAGACAACAACCATACATTTCTTTGGTAATGTTTTATTTTTTAAAAACGGTTCTCTTTGAGATTGAAGATAAAGTACAAAACTAATAAAATGAGCTGTGAACTCCAATTTGACAAATGATGCATTGAGATGAAAATGATAAGGATCAAGTGTAAGGCACAGAATAAAAAAAAAGACATACCACTGTATAATATAAGAGGACAACTACTGTAGCTACATGTATATACGCTTTCTTTTTAGATGAATTCTTCACATTATCTATATAGTGTTTCCTTGACACTCTTTAGCCTGTAACAAACTTGTGGCGTGAGTTAATCATAAACATGAAAATGAGGTTTACTTTCTGCACATTATCTGCTGCAGAGGTGCCTATCCAGCCTCCTTTAACACAATAACAGTGCACCATTAAGATGAGCTGTACATGACAGCACATTATCTTTGTTGGCGTTAGGAAGGGACACTTTTTGTTACCATTTAGCATGCAGTGCTAATGAGGGCCAGCATTAAGTATCATCACTTAAACAACATCAAAGCGGATCTCCAAGACAAGAAAATGACTCCATTGGTGATTCACCACAAACTCATCTCGAGATACACAGAATTAAGGAACAGAGGGGAAAAAAGGAGAAGAAAACTGCCTTTACCCTGCATTAGTTTACCATTTCAACATGACAGTTCATGATTCCTTTTTTGTATTTTGAGTCACTGGGCTTGATACCCGAAAGCCGCTTATATGGCAACCAGGGTCACCATTTTTTAATTCCTTATCACGCCCCTCATGAACAGAGTGCAGTTCAACAAGTCACACTCACACAGTATGTACTGTACGTAGTATAGCATCACAGAGAAGACTTGTACCGTATGCAGCTGACAAAGCCTAATCGTTGATGGTTAACATTAGAGGAGGACTCTCGTAGAAATAAAGACATAAGCTGTACACATTGTTTATCTTAACGTTGCAGAAAACTGTACAGTGAGCTGAGTATTAAAAAAAAATGTGAATCTGCACTGTATTTCCAGTAAAACCCACGTCTTTGAATGCTGCCCAATCAGAGATGAGATTCTTTGGTACATGTTTTTATAGACTTTCCAGCACTTACAAAAGATTTCGCAAACAATCATGAGCTTATCAGCTATTTTGTGCAGGTTTTCTGTAATAATAGGCCACTTTGATTAAAAAATATAAAAGTAAAAACATCCCTAAAACAAGCACATTCTCTACTCTTTGGTTTTAGTAAGTAGCAGATTTGATGTCCTGATTCACCTTTGATATTTCACCAGTTTCAACTGTTCTACAGTAGATATGTGTAATGATAAGTCTGTGTTGCAAAACTACAGTATGCAACTAAGAATGTGTCACATAAACCTTTTACAGTGTTGTACAGTACAAAGACTGCAACCTCAGTTTTTGAGCATAAAAAAAAAAAAAGCACATGTATTGAAAATCAAAAATTTGGTGAATGTAAAGTTTTTTTGATTTTCATTTTCATCAAAAGTGTTTAGTGTATGGTCATGAAAATGACTAAAAAGATGCAAGATACAATTCGACAGCATTCCTGATGTAACAATAAAATCTTTAAGGCAGTCTGTGATAATACTTCTTACGCAAAAGGATAGAATACTTACTATACACTGAAGATTTAACTGACATGTTCATATATCTGGAGTTACTTCTAGCCCCTGCTGAGCTGGTTTTGATGGAGAAGCCCAGTGTCAAAATACATCTTTCAAAGCATGCTTTACTCACACTCACACACACACACACACACACACACACACACACACACACAGTCATCACAATCCACAAACACATATGTCGACCCTCACACACACACACAAACAAACACACATGTTCCCTCTGTCTGTTGCTGAATTCAAAGTGACAGCAGCAGCAATTTCCTTCCATTCTTCCATCCAGGGTCCAGTTAACCCCCCCCCGCAGAGGCACTCTGCTCTACACCCACGCAGGCCTCCCTATGTGGGGAAGCAGATGCCGCAGCACTCCATACAGATTTCCAGGCAATCTGAGGATTCGCAGCAGGCATCCATGATGCCACAGTCCATGTCACAGGGGCAGTTGCAGTCGTCGCCCAGGTCGTCGGTGCAGCAGCAGCAGCAGCAAGCCTCTGATGTGCATGCGCCGCACGAGGCCTGCGCCACCACCATGTTGCAAAGTGTCAGGAACTCACAGAACAGGCAGGCCAAGATGCAGTGGACACAGCAGTCTGGGTCAAACCGCCAAAACCAGCCAGGGTGACGAGTTGTAAAGTAAAACAAACGTGAAAAAAATCAATCAAAAAGAACAGAAACACAAACATGAAACACGCAAATATATAAAATAAAGATATGTATTTGTAATAGATTGACAAGTGTAAATACTCTTAAATTCTTACGTTTTTACCTAAATTAGTGCCTATTAATGAAAACAGCGTGGAGCAGAGTGAGTGAGAGATGACGTGAATGCTTGGCAGGCTGACAGGTGGAACAGAGCAGGTATGTGGTAAAGGGCAAGGGCTAACAAGGCAGGGGGGCTAGAAGGAAATAAAAGAAATTCAAAGAAATGAATTCCTCTCCTGCAGTTTTGATTAACGGACTGTTAAATAATTGTGACATTATCATGCAAACTGCCAGGTTGATCACACAAAGATGATTAGCAAAGTCCAAGAGTCTCTCCCGGTAAATAGGTGGATTAATGCTGGCAACGCTCACACCTCTGATTAACATTTAACCTCTTCACAGACCCCCTTTAAATAGCTGGTGGCATGTTTCAGCTTGTTGTTTCACAGCAATACAGAGTTCCCCTTTAAATTACCAATATACCCATTAACCATCACAAAACTGTTTCTGAATGGCTGAATTAGTTGCATTAAAACACTTCCATGTTGAATGGGTAATGAAAGGACACATTTTTACTTTAATCGACACCGTATGTTAGTAAAGACATGCACAGTAAGAGCAAGATGCAGAGTTTTCTTCCCAAATTCTTTTGACTCCAAAAGGAAATGTAATAACATGAAACTTTATATAGATAGGTGTTATATACAGACATTTAATCAAATCAAAGACCTTAATTTACCTGTTCTTTTTGTAAAAAAAACTTTTACTTGATCTAAACATATCTCTATAACCTTTTAAAAGCCGAAATTATAAAAAGCTTAATACAATAAAGTGGGAAAAAATTTAATATAAAGATACATTAAAAACAAAACCGAGATTGTTTATGCATAGCCCACAGATACACTGCTCCACTAATAAGAGATAAATGTACACAATTTATGTTGTCATCAATCATGGGGCTCCACACCAGAACTTCTGTAGTTGTCTAAGGCACTAAATCATACTAAATATCATTCGGTAAGTGCGCCTGGCATACACGCCTTGCAGCTGTCTCCTGTTTGAACCAAGGCCAGCGCAGCGCCACTGCTTTGGAGTGTTAAAAAGACATGATGTGGATGTATGCAGAAAAATAGCATTACAAACAGGGCACATTTGCATAACTTTCATCAGCCCATCTTGAGCTGTCAGAAGGGGCTGTTACTGATTGGGTTAGAGGGAGAGGGAAAGCGAAAGGAGGAGAGTGTGGAGGACAGCATGGGAAAGCAAGCTGTGGACCGCTGGATGCTCATGTTTGATTAATCAAAGTAGAGGGGAATTTTTTTATTTTTTTTCCTTCC